TTCAAATGTCTGCAGCTGATCAATGAATAAATTACTTACTGCAACATCATTGTCATAAAGACCCATATTCGCTAGTGACAATCGTTCACAATGTTCATTATAAGCCAATGCTTCGAGTAGCCGTCGAATTTGTGGAATAGGCGTTCGCTGAAATGGAGGAAATTGCTTTACTATGGAAATTTTGGATAGGATAGCTGGCTTTTAGTGAAAATTGTAAAAATTTATAATTTCGATAAGTCCTGGCGAATGCTGTACTCTGCTTACTTGTCGAAGCAGGGCACATTGGTTGGGGATTTTAGTCGAGTCCTTACGACCTGCCCCCCTTCAACCTTCCTGAGGCGAGAAAAATCAACTATCAAAATAAATTTTTCTCAGCCCAAATACGACCCCCCTCTCCTGGCGGCCAAATACGACCCCCCCCCTGTTGGGGATTCCCCAACAACGACGTGCCCTGGGTCGAAGGCTACGATGCTCAACGAACCAGTGGCTATTGAATATTAACCTGGTAGTTTGGTACTACAAATGCGATCAGGTAGACCACAGTTTCTGTATTTCGGGTTCCTACAAGTCATCGATAATTGAGGTCAGCATCAAGCTGCGAAAGGGAAATATCACCGTAGGGCGATAAACATGGAGATACCCCGGTTTCACCCCCGATTTTTAGAAAAGGCCGTTTCTCTGTCCCTCCTTACTCACCTTCATATTGTTCATGTTGACTTCTTTGAGGGTGGGATCGTTGTCGAGAAGTCGTTGTACGCACTGCTCGACGTCGGTGTCATTGTCTGGTTCCGTGGGTCTAGTCTGCTCTGGCAAACTGCTCTTCACCGGAGAGTTTCCGGTATCGCTCAGGATACGCTCAGCCTCCTTCCCATGATATGATACGATTCTCGTTCATCGCCTCTGAAAAATTGGTGGTAAACAGACTAAATAAAAAGTCATAAGGAAGATCATAAGAAGATTCCGGAGAACATTTTCCTCACTTAGCAATTCTCCGATGTCTGTATCGCTCTGGCCCACTTCGGCCATCTCTTCGATGGCCTTGACGAAATCCTCGTCTGTCATGATTTCCTCGGGGCGGAGGGCCCCCGGCGTACGCGGCGTTACGGGCCCGTCCTCCGACATCTGTAAGCTGGTAGCTGAACCAGATTGGTCTTCAGCATCGCTCGTCGGCTCGAAGTCAAACATCGAGACAAGTCTCTCAGTTTATGGCGTGACTAGGATGTATAGATTGCTTTAAAATAACGCGAACACGACGAAATGACGAAGTGGTCGTATGGAAGTAGAAGATGATGAAGTGCAAGAACAGATTTATGCAAGAGGAAAAGGCTAGTGGAAATCCACCTCGTCAAATGATATTTCTTAGAGAAGGAATAAGCGCCAATAAAGTACACTTGTGAACACTAAAGATTAGAAGCAGCTTTATTTCCTCCTTCTCAGTCTCGTTTCTTCACTAAGATGAGGGAGATGTCGACGTAAAGATGGATGAGGGGTAACCAGCATGTTCCCACTCTGTATAAGGGAGGCCTCGGAGGAGAGAGGGAAAACTAAACCTACTCCTTCGTTAGAATTGTCCACTACAACCACTGCCGTTCCCAATTCTATAAAAACTAACCGCTGCCTTTCACAATATGAATGAAAATTAAAATGGAAAAGGCTCAACGTGAAGTTGATCAATACCTTTTTGGAATGCGCCACTCATTCCTCTCACATCCTGAGACAAAACGGCATCTGGAGTGAGATTCGGCCTATGCGATGGCTTGAGGTAACCACTCAATGTACCAGTCAAAGTTTTTCCCTTCCTGGACAAGTCTGGTGCCAGTTAGCCGACCCCGGATACATTGCGGGTTTAGCCGATTCGGGCTGGAGCCGATGTAAGACCTAACAGAAAAAAAATGAGGAATGACCTCATTCAGGGCAAAAATGTGAGAAAGCGACGTATGCTCTACGTGGGGACTTTGAAATGGTAGATTTTGTCGCGAACAGTCAGGTTTGGGAGGCATAAAACCAGCTCACCCCGGCTGCATTTTCCACTAAAAGGGATCGGTCCAGGAAGAAAACAATAGCGGTAGAAAAACCCGCAGGTGAGCTCATCCCATGCCTCCTGACAACGCCACGACTCATCGAAATAAATGGTAATTCATGAAGAACAGTGGCGAGGTTCGTCACAAAGCAATACTCTATGCTGTTGAGAGTAATTTTAGGGTCATAAAACCATTACATGATTGCCGTTTGGGATCTTAGAACGAAAAGTAAGACTAACAGATAAAAGCGATAATTACCGACGAAGTGCATATGCACTCAGAACCAGTGAAAGTGTTGAGAAAAAGACGGATCGCGAGAGTTCCAACGAAACTCGACAGTTTTCAAAAAAGTTAGAAGTGAAGGAGCAACCTGAATATGAGAAAACTCGTCAACTTGTTGAGCTCGAATTTACATTCCGTGATTATTGAGACGGATGAAAACCTTGTGTGGAGAAAGGTGAAGAGGACCGTAGTCACAGCCTTGTATAGTGTATAGTTCGCTGCGGAAGGTTGGGCGTGTCAGGCGGGATGAGTTTGGCGCGGTGCCAAACCCGTTCTCCACCAGTTGTTAAAGCGAGCAAATGATATGACTGTATCATATCGTTCGTATTACTCGTTTTCTACCACATTTTTCCCATGCGCGCTTCAAGAAGGCAGAGAACGGCTTTGACGGGGTGACACACTCATACTGCTCGACACGCCCAACCATCCGCGACGAACTTGAATGTATAAGCTTCGCATCAGAGGATTGGTGGATATGTGGGAACGTTAAAGCGCTGGATTGCTCGACTGGCTCCAGCTCAACGCAAGGTATTTTCCCCTTATGCTTTGCTTGTCTGTGTGCTGCTTTCGCCCTACTGTTCGCTCTCTGCCAAACGAATCGCCAAACGAATTTCCATTCAGCAAGTGACAGACAGTATGCCGAGTAGACACCCTTTCTCTGGTTTCGCGTTGGTTTTCCTCCTCAGCCCGGTTAACCGCTTCCCACATCTACGATTTGTCCTAGCGCTACTACCTGCGACTCACAATCGCTAAATGTGCCTTCAAATGACCGTTACACAAAGCTCGAAAGTACTAGGAAAGTGATTACACCGTAGTTCACGCACCTGTGAGCGACAATGACAACTGATGTCAGGCATGAAATACTCAACCTCTAGTCACCACTGACAAAAAGGATCAATATTCGCAATATTTGGCACCAAATTAGAAGAGCCCATCTTTAGTCCAATTCATTGCTTTGCTCGAACTCCCTCTGCGAAGCAGTCGATGCCGACGAGATCAAAAGCGCCAAGGTTAGTGGCAAGATCCGATACCACAGACTGAGGCTTATGCGACGGTCTTAGCGGAGCTACCTTAGGAACTGCTACTTTATGATTATACTAAATTTAAATCCTGTACGGGTCACAACCTTAGAATGGTGAAAGATGACAGGCACTTAAATGGCTCAAACAAACACACAGGAAAGCCTCTATACAAGAGCGAATTTGAATTCAACATTAGATGAGCTTCGTGAAGTTTCGACACAATTATAGACTGGGCACTAGCTAAGGAATCTCAACCTGACCCTTACGTGGTTACGACCCCTACGACAACCTATGAGTACCCTCACTACAGTCCATATCACGGTGTATTGAAAGGGCGTGCCCACGACTTAGTTTGAGGAAGGCGGTGTCTGTGGGTGTAAGGGGTGTTGCCTAATAAGAGCAGAGAAGGCAGAAAGCTTGTGTGTAAGAAAACGCAGGTGGCTGAGCGACTCTGCCGTCTCTGTTCTGAACCGACACAACCCATCTGAGCCCGTGACACGACTTTCCCTGGGGTCATGATGAGGAGTTTCCTTCTTCTCGTTTTTCTGCTCGTGAATTCTCATTTCTGAGGGAAGAAGAGCAGATTTCCATATCATCCGCTGCTTACGACAACTAGCGTAAGCTTCTTTTTAGGATTTAGCTGTCAAATTCGAATAAAGCATAAGAGAAAGGTTGAAGCATTTCAAGCTCTGGACTATCTAACAGTCACTGGCTGTTGTTTAGTGAAGAATTATAGAGGTCAGGTAGAGGGTTGATGCTGGCAGAAAAACAAAAGGACAGCTGTCTGGCCGCTATGCAACTGTACCTAGCAGAAACCCTCATAATTGAGTTACAGCAACTGACAATTTATTTCTTGCTAAACGCTACTCTTGTGAGTGCATACGAATCTACATAGAAAAGCAAGGACTTCATCTCATGCACTACATATTGTGGTATTACAGCGCGTCCGTGTACAAGGTATATCAGACGGACATGACAGACTTTCCCTCGATACGCCTCCACCCCTTCCAACCTTCATCGAACGGGTGAGTGGGGAAGGGAGTTGAGTGGGCGGGCATTCACCACCTGCCAGTAACACGACACAGTGCGAAAAAGCAGGAATCGGGAGTAAATGGGTCTTGGTGCTAAGGACCATCGCGTCTCCCTAACGACTAACTGCGACTCAGTTCCAATGTGAATTTCACAAAATTGATGTAAATGAAGAAACTGACTGTAGACATCTTGAAGAAACTGTATTCATTTCATGTGTCAACGCTAATCCCGGTGAAGGTCATAAAAAAAGGCCAATTTCAGCAGAAATTGAACTCAAGGGTCATTGAATAAAATTCTACACAGAGCTGCCCAGAAATCGGTTCCCAGCTGAGGTTTGGTCTATTGCTACTATGGGGCAAAAAGCGAGTTCCAGAGCACTTTGCCCATTTGCACAACGCAACGTATCAATAGATGGAATGGGCGTGGCTGAGTAGTTCATTTGAACTGTGATGGCGGTTTCGTCTTTACCGGAATAATGACATCTTGGGACCACTTTAATGACGTCGTCCAGCCCTAAAAAAGGATTTCAGTGTTGGAAGCCGGAAATACCTACTCCACATAGTCACTGTTCCACCTGACAAGCAGAACCCATGCCCCTTCCATCTTTCAGGATATGGAGTGAAACTACTAGGTGGCGGGGTTGAAAAAGCAGAAATAAGTGTGATGGTTACTGTTTCCTTTAGGGGACCCTCCCTGTTGCAGTCGGATATTGTTAATTAGTGAGAAGCGAGTAGTCGTTCGGAGAGACAGGGAACAAAGTACGCAACAGTACAAAACAAGCAAGGCAACGAACATCAACGAGCAGGGTCACTTGCGCTCGGGTAGAGCCACCTGACAATCCCCGTATGAAAGCCACTCATAATAATTTCCGGCACTATTCAACCATTACTACCCCAGTTTTCCGAAATGAGGCCGGATTTTGATCCACTTTTTTCTACGAGGGCAGATTTGGCTGATAATTGGGTTCTAGAGGTACTTCGACTTTATAAACACGAATATCATATCCGCTTGGCCTGAAATTGCCTGGGCCGACGCCAAAATACCCTAGGTCACCAAATCCGCTGAAAACTTGTATACGGAGTTATTTGACATCTTGATTACAAATATCACATTCATTTTTGGCGCTGGCGCTGATGGAAGACGCTACGATCATCTGCGCTCTGCTAAGGCTGAGCCTGACCTAAAGGGAATCACTCCTTCTCCCAGGCTCAGCCTTAGAAGAGCGCTAAATGGCGCTGGTGTCGAAAAATAAATGTCATATTCGTGATCAGGGCATCAAACAACCCTATTATGCAGGTTTTTATCGATTTTGATGAAAAAGGTGTGGCGCCAAATCAGCGCCTAATGGCGCCAAATGGCGCCAGGGCTGAAAACTAATGCGGTATTCGTGATCAGGACATCAAGTAACCCTACTATGCAAATTTACATCGAATTTGGTGAGAAAGGTGGCGGCGCCAAACTAGCGCCAAATAGCGCCAATTCGGCGCCAGCGCAGACGCACGCAAACGAGTGCTACATTCGTGACCAGGACACCGAATTACCTCTGTGGACGAAATTTCAACAAGAAAATATTGTCCACTTTTTGGGGCAGTAACAGTTGAAGTGCCCAGTTTTCTTACGCAAAACTGGCTCTAGATGGCAACACTACCTTTAACCACAGAGGGCTCTTACTCTATCAAAAAGGGGTGTGTGAATGATTTTTTCGAGATACAATCCAAACAGTAGCAACTTGAAAGCATATCCACCAGCTGATGCAGGTGAGAAAATAAGCAAATGACCTAATTTCTACATCTGACGCCATCGCGATTAAACCTGCCTGTAAAAAACC